CCCGCTCTGCTCCGCACCTTCCACCCCAGGTCCTCAGAAAACCTTGCCCCTAACCTTCCAAATCGCCTAGATCTCTCCAAGCCCCACTCCCCTTCTCCAGGCCGTTCACTGTCCTCCCTAGCCCAGAATCTTCCAGGCACCTCCAAACAACCGCTTCCTGCCCTTCCCAGCCTCCTCTTAGCCCTCAGAAGACCTTGTCCAAGATCTTAGTTCCCTCCAGCCCCTCCTCGAGCCCTCAATGTCTCACCCTTCCCCAGGACCTCAGGGAACATCTTTTCCCAGCCTTAGAATGTCCTGGCCTTGCAGAAGTGCTTCCTAGGGCCCCCGAAGCCCCACCAGCCCTCTCAAGTTTTCCTGTAAACCACAACCTCACAGCTTTTCCAATTTCTTGATTTCTTCCTGGTACCCCTCTCCCGTCTCCCAGAAGGCTCCCCTCTCAAAGTTGGGGAGAAGACACTTTACACACCAACTCAGTTTCCTGAACCCCCATAATGCTTACTCCAGCCAGGATGCTGCCCTGACACACACACACACACACAATCACTGTAACACTTAGTCCTGGGATAGCTTCCCTCTGGGACCCCTCTGCGTTCGAGTCTCTCCGCACATTGGCCATCCCAGCTTCCACCCCCAAGACTAGCTAAGGCCTTTGTACTCCTCACATCCTGTCCCCAGAAACCACCGGATCACCCATAATATGCTTCTGCCCTGCAGAGCCCCCTGACACCCTCCAGAATAGATCCTTCGTGGTCTCAGACTCTCCCAGATTCTTCCTCCATCCTGCCAACTGCACAACCCACTGGGGTCCTCCCCAGCCCCATTCCCAGTCAGGTGACTTCCTCAGCCCCCGTTCTGCCTCAAAGCTTTCCTGCTGACCTCAATCCTTGAGACCCCTTAAGATCATCAACAGGAAAACTGATCCCCACCCACCCAAATGCTCTCAAGTTCTTGCTACCCTCCCTCAGGATAGTTGCACTGCCTCTCCCCCACTCCCCTGCCTCTCTCCTGCCCCAAACAATCCCTCTAGTTGGAAGCCCAGGACTGAGCCCCCTCAGCCTCTCCCCACCTCAAAATAAATCAAAGCGCTCTCTCCTCACAGGTAAGGGCCCTTTCTCCTTCATTTCCCCTGCATCCTCAACTCCCTCAAGTTTCCAGGTATTTCCTAAAGTTCCCCCCATACTCCTTCCCCCACCCAAAAAAACTTCTTCCAACAGTTGTAACTTCCCAGGGATCAATGGCAACCTCCCCTCAACTGCCTCGCCCCAGCCCCCTTCCTCTCTACTAGTTCAGACCCTGTAGGCAGAAAACTGCTGGAGAGCGACAGTTTAAAGTTGGGGGAAGTTGAAAAGAGAGGCGATCCAGCCCCACCTCCCTTCCCAGCGCTTCTTGGGGTCCCAAACGCGGCGAGGAGCTGGTGCCCGTCCCCTCCCCCCAGCGGGCAGTGTCCTGGGCCGGGAAGGACGCGGAGCCGGAGCCGCAGTGCCGCATTCTCGCCGGGGGAGGGAACGAGGGGGAGGGTGCCCCCCCCCCAGGCACCGCATAAAGTTTGGTTCCCCTGGAAGCGCTGAGTTGGCGAGATTTGGGGGTGGGTGGGGGGAGGTAGGGAAGAGGAGGTGCGGACTGGATGTGGCCCCAGATGGCCTCCAAGGCCTCAGAGTGGCCCCCTCCCCCCAGGGCCCGGAGCACCCTCCCCTCCCGTGACCCCATTGAAGGAGGGTGTTGAGGGAGAGGGAGGCTAGGGTGGAATTCGGCTGTGACGCTCAGGCCTAGGGGGTCCCAGAGGCTACGAGGGTCACTCGACTTTCGTGGATGTGGTTTGAGCGTCGGAGCACTGTCTTGACTCCAGGAGGATTACTTGAGAGAGCTGGGGGTCCGAGGCCAGTGCCAAGTGTGTTAAAGGGGGTGTCTGGCCCTGCCTCCCTCCGACTCCCTTCCCAGTAGCCTCTCCTTTCCTTCCCACCTGGACTCAATGCCTCCCCTTTTCCTGTTTTTGCATCCTCTGGGGGGCGGGGGAGAGAAGGGGTTAAAGCCGCCCGACGCGGTCCAGCCTCTGTAGCTGCGCACTGCGGCGGGTGCCCACCATTCCCTTCCGTGCCTCGGGAGGGAAGGAGTTAAGGGAGCTCTGGCCTGGGGCGACCCCCACCCCGCGACGAGGCGGCAGCTCTGCGGCTGCGCGCCACCGGCTGGGCCCTGGCCCGGAAGGGGTTAAGCTGGGGGGAACCTCCAGCCCCTGCGGCTGCGCACTGCGGCGGGGGAGCTGGCCGCGGTGCTGGCCGCCGCGCGCCCCGCCCCCTGGCCCGGCCGGCCCGCCCCCACTGCGGTGCCGCAGCTCCGAGGAGCGGGGGAGGGGGGGTTCGCCGGGCATGCGCTCTGCAGCGACCTCTGGCCTCTTAAGCCACTGCGGAGAAACGGGGGTGAGGGAAAGGGGGCGCTCAGGGAGGGCCAGCACGGACCCCGGCCCGCCTCAAGCTTGGGCCACCTAGCTTTTCATCTCTTGAAAGCCAGGCTCTCCCGAAAGCTAGACCCCGCCCCCCAGGCCCCTAGAGCATAAGGAGGCGGTGAAGAGGGGGCATGCTCACTGCACCTCCTCTCTGCCCCATGCCCCTGCTTGACCGACTAGGCATGCTCACTGCACCTCCTCTCTGCCCCATGCCCCTGCTTGACCGACTAGAACCAAAACCCTTGTCTGAGCTTCCTGTCTTCCACTCACTTAATAAAAATGCCACTTCGCTCCTGGTACCCACCCCTCTCTCCTCTCAACTCTCACCCCTTCATCTGCTGCCTGCCCTGAGACCTTGGCTCTGCCCCCTCTCTTCAGGCCGATGAATAACTGTGACCCCCACACTGTTGGCACAACTCCTCAAACGATCCCAAAAAAGTCCTGTTCTCTCTCCCTACATCCAGACCCCTGGTTGTGGCGCTTTGTCTCTTGAACTTCAGGTCCCTTCCCCATTCTCTGTCCTCTTCACGTTGTGCAGGCTAACACCCCACCACCCCACCCCGTAGCTCCTCGCTGCCCCATGCTTCCTGGCTCCAGGCCCCCTTCCTCCTCCCCCTTTTCTTCCCGAGCCTGGAATTGAGCCTGGCTCCTCTCCCAGGGCCTTAAACCTGGACTCCTTCCACTCCTTCCCTTCTCTGAGACCTTCACCATGGGACTACCCCCCTCTCCCTATCCTATAAGCACCTGAAACCCTCTTTTTGGTCCTGAGCAGTGTGTTCAGAGGCAGGTCCTTTGTATGCCCATCTAATGTAATCATCACACACATACACACACACATACACACCTCACTCCCATGGAGTCGTTTCTGCCTCACAGTGACCCTATAGGTCAGGTTAGAGCTGCTCCTGTGAGTTTCTGAGATGCAACCCTCTATGGGAGTCGAACGCCTCACCTTTCTCCCGAGAAGCAGCTGGTGGTTTCCAACTGCTGACCTCTCTGTTAGCGGGACTGCAGCTCATGGGAAGTGTGAGCACTGCGTCATCATTTGTCCTAGTGACAAGCATGCCACCCCCACCCACCCCCAACACACATACACACACAAACATCAAACTAGAAGCTCAGAAGCTTAGCCCATGTCCAAGTTGCTGTGTGCCACTGAGTCAATTCCGGCTCCTAGGGACCCCTCGCCCCCGTGACAGGACTGCCCCACAGGGATTCAGCTGGCCAGGGATCCATCGCCCAGAGCTGCCAGTGGTTTCCAGCCACCGACCTTTCTGTTAGCAGTCTTTGCCTTCCCCAAGTTGGGCCCAGGGAGAGCCATGGTCCAAGCCCAGCTGAGTGCTGAGTCCTTAGTCACTTGGAGATTCTGGTAACCTCTCTGCTCCCCTCTGCCCTCCCTCTTCCCAAGCTCCAAGCTTTAGAGATCTCTGAGACACCGTTGGTGGGGATAGGGTGCTGTGAGCCCCCTAGGAGAGGCCAGCGTGCCCCCCGCCCCTCCCCAGCACAGGGAGAAGAGGGGAAGCCGAGCCAGGGGCCAGAAGCGCCTGTTCCCTGGGAAAAATGTGGCCATCTGCTGCCTCCACCGGGCCAATTCCTCTCTGGAGTTGGGGGAAGGGGAGAGCTGCCTTGGACCCTTTCCCTGCCCGTTTGCCAGCTCTGGAGGGAGGGCGGAAGACCAGGATGCTGGCAGAGTTGGAGCCTGGTGGAATAGGGTGGGGATGTTGGAGGGGGGTTGGGACTCCTGGACCCACACCCCCATGTGGGATCTGGGGGGCTGGGCAGGGAGCCCCGTGGAGCAGACGCCCAGGTGGGTCACCTCTCGCCCCCTCTCTCTCTCTCCCCCCCACGCCCTGCCGTGCAGTATGTGGCTTTCGCCTCCCTCTTCTTCATCCTCATCTCCATCACCACCTTCTGTCTGGAGACCCACGAGGGCTTCATCCACATCAGCAACAAGACGGTGACGCAGGCCTCGCCGATCCCCGGCGCGCCCCCGGAGAACGTGACCAACGTGGAGGTGGAGACTGAGCCCTTCCTGACCTACGTGGAGGGCGTGTGCGTCATCTGGTTCACCTTCGAGTTCCTCATGCGCATCACCTTCTGCCCGGACAAGGCGGAGTTCCTTAAGAGCAGCCTGAACATCATCGACTGCGTGGCCATCCTGCCCTTCTACCTGGAGGTGGGCCTCTCGGGGCTGAGCTCCAAGGCGGCCAAGGATGTGCTGGGCTTCCTGCGCGTGGTGCGCTTCGTGCGCATCCTGCGCATCTTCAAGCTGACGCGCCACTTCGTGGGGCTGCGCGTGCTGGGCCACACGCTGCGCGCCAGCACCAACGAGTTCCTGCTGCTCATCATCTTCCTGGCGCTGGGCGTGCTCATCTTCGCCACCATGATCTACTACGCCGAGCGCATCGGCGCCGACCCGGACGACATCCTGGGCTCCAACCACACCTACTTCAAGAACATCCCCATTGGCTTCTGGTGGGCCGTGGTCACCATGACGACCCTGGGCTACGGCGACATGTACCCCAAGACCTGGTCGGGGATGCTGGTCGGGGCGCTGTGCGCCCTGGCGGGGGTGCTGACCATCGCCATGCCGGTGCCGGTCATCGTCAACAACTTCGGCATGTACTACTCGCTGGCCATGGCCAAGCAGAAGCTCCCCAAGAAGAAGAACAAACACATCCCCCGGCCTCCACAACCCGGTTCACCCAACTACTGCAAGCCGGACCCGCCCCCGCCGCCCGCGCCCCATCCCCACCACCACGGCAGCGGGGGCATCAGCCCCCCACCGCCTATCACCCCGCCCTCCATGGGGGTGACTGTGGCTGGGGCCTACCCGCCGGGACCCCATGCGCACCCGGGGCTGCTCAGGGGAGGGGCAGGGGGGCTGGGAATCATGGGGCTGCCTCCGCTGCCGGCCCCTGGGGAGCCCTGCCCATTGGCTCAGGAAGAGGTGATTGAAATCAACAGGGCAGGTGAGCTTGGGTGGGGGTGAGGGCAAGGGTGGGGTGGGGGGCACAGGAGGGGGAGTGATGGGCAGAGGTGGGAAGGTCTTACAGGGAGGCCAAGGGGTAGATGATGGCGGAGGCGTGTCCCAAGGCAGGGCCAGCTGGGGTTCCAGAAAGTGAGGCCTGCCCCAGGGAGCTTCTGTGCCCCACCCATACCCCCACCCCCATCCCGGGCAGCCGGAGACCAAGAGGTTGTCACTGGTGGACAGAGAGGCAGAGAGAGAGCCGGAGTGCTGAGAACTATGGGAGACAAAGACCTCACAGGAGAACCTGGGGGTTGGGGGCTGGGCTCCTCCCACTCTCCAGCCTGAGAAGGCTCCTGGGTTTAGAGAGATGGCGGAGGGGTGCAGGGAGCAAAAGTGGACTCTGTGTGTGTGCGTGCCTGTGTGTGTGTGTGCCTGTGTGTGTGTACACGTGTCCTCCTCTCCCTTGGGGAGGCCGGCCTCCAGGAGGCCAGAATTTGGGTGTCTGGGAGGAGGGAGAGGCTGGTGGCCCTCGCCCTCCCCCAACCACCATAAGTAGGTCAAGGAAGAGAGCTGGGCTGCCGGCCCCCATCTTGCTCCCTTAGCCACTGACCCAGTTTCACACCCATTAAAAATAGCACGAGTCGGAGCCTGGGGGACCCCCCCCTCCCCTCCCTCATCTGTCACCTCCAACCGGGCCCCGCTGTGCCCTCCTTGGTGCCCAGTGCCGCTCCCTGAATAGCCATTTCCTGACCTCCCAGCTATCAGCACCCTGAACCCTACACCCTACCCCAGCATCTCACATCCTCAGTCCCCTGGAGCCAACCACCTCCACCCAACACCTTATCACAGTCTCCTGACCCCACCACCCCTTTCTAGAACCCACCACCTGCCCCTCACCCAGCTCTATCAATATTTTATTTAGTACCTTTCCCACCACCTGCCCCTCACCCAGCTCTATCAATATTTTATTTAGTACCTTTCCCACCACCTGCCCCTCACCCAGCTCTATCAATGCTTCAGTCCCTTTCCCATCACCTGAATCACCTGCAGCTTCTTAGCACTCAACACCTGCCTGTCAACCCAACTACTTTACAGCCTCCCAGTGCCCTGCCCATCACCCTTCCCTACCCTGATAGCTGTTCCCAGCGCATTAGACACCCTCCCTCCAAGGATTTCCGCCCCCCAAGGCCACCAGCCACACCCTCTTGGTTCCACAACACCCCTCCCACCAAACACCCACTCGGTCATCCGCCTCCAACACCTGCTGACCACAACCCGTGCGGGAGCGCCTGGCCTCACATCTCCCTTGTGTCTCTGTCTGAATCTTCTGCCCCGACAGATCCCCGCCCCAATGGGGACCCCGCAGCAGCTGCCCTGGCCCACGAGGACTGCCCAGCCATCGACCAGCCCGCCATGTCCCCGGAAGACAAGAGCCCCATCACCCCCGGGAGTCGGGGCCGCTATGGCCGCGACCGGGCCTGTTTCCTCCTTACCGACTATGCCCCGTCCCCTGATGGATCCATCCGAAAAGGTGAGGAGCCCCGCCCCCGGTCCTCGGAGACCCTCCCTCTCTCCCCCAGCCAGGGGGGGAGGGTGGAGAGGGCGGTGGGGAGAAGGTGCTGGGCTTCCCCGTGGCCTGGCCCAGACCCCCTCCTGGCCCTGTGTCCTCTCACCACTCACCCTCTGCCTGTCTTTATTCCATCTCCATCTCCACCCCCCAACCCGGACCCTCTGGCCTCTTCCCCCACCCCCAGCCACCGGTGCTCCCCCACTGCCCCCCCTAGACTGGCGTAAGCCAGGGCCCCCCAGCTTCTTGCCCGACCTCAACGCCAACGCTGCAGCCTGGATATCCCCCTAGTGGACGAACCCCCTCCCCCTGGGGTAAGTAGTCCCCCTATCCTGTTGCCCTCCCCTCTGACTCCCCCTACCTGCTGACTAACCCTTCTGAGAACAGGCAGACCTCACTGACCAAGAACCCCCTTCCCACTCACTGTGAAGAGCTCCCCTCCACTATTAACCCAACCCTGACACTGGTGCCGCCTTCCCCCGGACTTACAATGCCCCTCACTAACCCTCATGAACTGACCCCAGCCTCCCACACCTCGTGCCTCTCCCTTCCTTTGCGACTGACCCCCCCTCCCCCACCAATTCTCACCCCCATTCACATCTCCCTCAGGTTTCTCATGCAGCCTGGCGAGCGGGGTGCACATCCAGGAGACTGGTGGATGGGTACAGGATGGCTGAGGTGCTAGGCACAGGCTGTTGTGCGGTTTCCACAAGGAACAAAACCCACTTGCTGCCCCCACCCATCCCGAGAGCCCCAAGCTTGGTGGAGAACTTGGCACACACGGAGTAGCCCTGCCCCATACATAGCCTCTCTCAGGCTGCCAGCACTCTCCTGGGCAGCAGCTGGTAGGGTTGAGCTACTGCTGATCATGTGGTCAGTCACCCGGTGCTAAACCAGGTGCCCCAGAGTCAACGCCACGGGTCAGAGCAGAACCAAGTGTTCGGAAGTGTGGTAGCCAGGCGTTTCTTCCGAGGCACCCCGGGGTGGACTTGAACTGCCAACCTTTTCATTAGTGGCCAAGCACACACTTCCACCGCTCAGGGACTGCTGACAGTCCCTGTCCTAGGTGGCAGATGCTGCAGTCTGTACAGCACAAGAGCACTGGACAAGAAGCCCGCAAGCCCTGCCAGGTGGGGGGACATTAGGCCAGGATGGAGGGGGTCCTGCCCACCATGAAACCAGAGGAGGAAGAAGGAGCCCTGTGGGACAGTAAGGATTAGGGGGCACAGCAGCGGCAAAGGCCAGGAGACTGGATCAAAGGGGGAGGGGGGTCTAGTAGATGGGAAGGAGGTAAGATGGCTGGTGTCAACAGAAGTGAGGACTTGGGTTGGGGAGGAGCAGGCCAGCCAGCATGGGGGTGGGGGCAGGGCTTCATGAGCAGAAGCCAAGGCCTTGAGCCTGGACCAGAGCTGTGAGGACAAAGTGGAGCGCAAAGGGCAGAGAGGGCTGGGGGCTGATGACCTTGGGGAGGAGAGAGTGAAGAGACATTGACCAAGCCCTTCTCAGGTTTTTTATCCACTAGCTCCTTTCATCCACCCATTCATCCATCCACCCATCCATTCATCCATCCACCCATCCATCCATCATCCATCCACCCATCCATCCATCTATCCACCCACCCATTCATCCATCCACCCATCTACCCATCCACCCATCCACCCATCCACCCATCCATCCATCCATCCATCCATCCACCACCCATCCATCCATCATCTACCCATCCATCCATCCATCCATCCACCCACCACCCACCCATCCACCCACCCACCCATCCATCCATCCACCCACCAAAGGCAAATTACCCTGCGTCATCACCGCAAGAACCCACTGCAATGATTCTGTCAGTTTTAGCACAACCCACTCATTCTTCACTCAACAGTGTCCCCTTTGTGCTCTAACCCTATACAGCCCCCAGAGTTATCGGCCCTGGCCCCCAAGGGCTCACAGTCCCATGGGGGTGGTGTCATAGGGAAGAAACAAGGGGAGATACAGACAACTAAGCAGGCAATGCTAGTGCCACGGAGCCAATTCAGACGGTGCTGCTGTGGCTAGGTGCCACCCAGCTGGTTCTGACCCACAGCGACCTTCCACACAGCCCTTGCATCCCCCACCCCCAGTGGAAGATCCCCCTAGAGACACCCAGCGATCATGAATTGGACAGCAATTAGCCCATGCTTTATACCTTGACAACCTTCGAGCATCATAAACAATATGTTCTACGGCGTTTTGTGTTTAAACATTCACACAAATGGGATTATGGTGTAAGTAATGTTCTGCTCTTTCTCTCTGTACTCAACACTGTGCGTTTGAAGAGCCACCCACCCATGCTGGGAATGCCCGTCTTATTTCAGATGCCCTCTAAATGCGATGGCGTCATCCTCTCACGGGGTCGTGTGTCTGCGTCCACTCCGGGGTGTGGGTTCCTGAGTGTTGACCCAGGGACCACTATATATGCATGTTTTCTTCGCAGGGAGTCTGTTTCTTCAAAGTTATTTTTATTCATTAATTTCTCCATCCCTCCTCCTCCCATTTCCATGCCCTCACGTGCCTCTAGGGAGCCTCGGGCAGCTTCTTCTTTCTTTACAGCTAAGCTGTTGTTCTGGAGAAGAGCCGCCGTCGAAAGCCCCAACTCCTCAGTCTCAGCAGGCGCAGTGAGGGACACTGGCGGCCCTCCTCAGGGCTCTCAACGGGGGGCTCGCCCGCCTTTGCTGAGTCTTTTCTGCACCACTGACATGGTCTCACTGCCCACTACGGTTCGTGGATCATCTTTCCAGTTGCTGTGGTCAATTTGACCTCATATGCTGTTGTTGATGCTGATGTTGATATTGCTGGTGTTAAAGTTGTGGATGTTGTTGTTGTTGTTGTTGTTAATGCTGTTGTAGTTGGTGCTGTCAGGTTGGTTCCAACTCATAGCAAGCCCGTGCACAACAGAACGGAGCATGGCCCAGTCCTGCACCACCCTCACAATTGTTGTTACGTTTGAGCCCACTGCTGTAGCCACTGGGTCAACCCATCTTATTGAGGGGCACCCTCACCTTCGCTGCCCCTCTGCTTCACCAAGCATGACGTCCTTTTCCAGGGACTGGTCTCTCCTGACAACCTGTCCAAAGGCTGTGAGACAAAACCTCGCCATCCTTGTTTCCCAGGAGAATCCTGGCTGTCCTTCCGAGACAAACGTGTTTGTCCTCGCAGTCCGTGGCAGTTTTCACCCCTCACCAGCACCGGAGTCCACACGCACCAGCCCTTTCTTCCTCTTCTAGGTTCCACTTTCACATGCCTGCGAGTTGGGTGAAAATGCCATGGCGTGGGTCAGGTGCACGGGAGTCCTTAAAGGAACATCCTTGACGTTCAACAAAGAGGTCTGGTGAAGCGGATTTACACAATTCAATACCTCGTTCGATCTCTTGACTGCTGCTTCCATGAGCATTGATCACGGATCCAAGCAGGAGGAAATCTTGGACAACTTCAATCTTTTCTCTGTTTACCACGATGCTGTGTACGGGTCCAGTTGTGGGGGTTCAGTTTTCTTTCCATGGAGTTCAGATTCACACTGTGGGCTGTGGTCCTTGATCCCACAGAGACAGTTCTTGAAGGGCGTAAGGCTCAAGGAAGACCTGGCTAACTAGGACACGGAACTATTGATTGGGTTTAAGAAGATTTCTGGACAGAAGCCGCTGAGCTTGTCACAATGCCTTGGGCTCTTTTGGTGGCCCGGCTGGCAGCGTGGGACGTGCTACAGGAAGAGCCCACCCGCCTTTTGAGGGAATTTGCCTCTAAAGATTACAGCCTTTGAAACCCTGCAGGGGAAACTCTGCCCTTTGGGTTTGAATTGGAATCGAGGGGAATGGCTTTGAGGCTCTTTTTTGTTTCCTTTCATTGGTCCCTTCTCATACTGATCTTTGCAATCTCACGTGTTCCCATGGGTCATTTCCCCTCTCTGAGTCTCTTACTCTACCTCATTTTAAAAACTCTTGCCTGCGGTCCTAGAAGCTGTCCCTGTACTTTTCTCTCCTTGTTCCAAAGTCTGGTCTATGGACTTTGGATCTTCACTTCCACGCTCTGACGTGGACTGTCAGTGACCACAGCACACTCACAGCTCACGGTCTGGGCGATGGGCGGCCATAGTGCCTCCTGGCCCTGTCAGTGCTCTGAAAGGCCACTCCCAAGGACGGTGCCCTGTGAAGGTCGGAGCACTGGTGCTGTGTACCAGCATCAGCACCAC